ACAACAACAACAACTTGTTCATATTCTTTTGTCCATTTATGATTAGATTACTAATATTTTTGTTGCTCAGGTGTTAATGTCCTCTGCATATTTTAGACATTAGATTCTTATCACATATGTCATTGCCAAGAATTTTTCCTCAGTCTGTAGATTCTCCTTTCCTTTTCTGATGAAATCTTTTTCTGAGCATACATATATACTTTTTTTTTAATTTGATGAAGACAGAACTTTATTATTAAAACCCAATAGGCTGTCAAAATGATAATACATATGTTCAACCAAGTAGAGTAGTAGATCCCAAGTACACAATTACTTTGAGGAACTCTTTTTTTTTCTTCCTTTTTTTTCAGTTGTCATCATTTAATTGACTTAAAGACAATTACATATATACTTTTTATGAGGCCCAAGTTATCTATTTTATCTTCTGTTGTTTGTGAACTTATAATTATGTTTGATAGTATATAAATTAAGATCACTAGCTTTGTCCCTGTGCTTTCTTCCAGGTTTCACATTAAGGTTTTGATTTATTTTGAGGTGTTTTTTTTTTTTTCATTTGGTGTAAGATATGGATCATGTTTTTCTGCAAATGGATATACAGTTTTGTCAGCACCATTTATTTAAAAAACCATTCTCATTAAATGAATTTTAACCCTTTCTTAAAGATCAGCTTTCAATAGCTGAATGGATTTTCTTCTGGTTCTCAATTCTGTTCCTTTTGTCTATGTGCTTGTCATTGAACCAATACTGGGCTTTTTTTACTCCTATGGCCAAGTTGTGAGATTTGAGACTGAGGTCTCCTACTTTGTTCATCTTCTTCAATAATTATTTAGCCTACTCAGAGTCTCTTTCCTTTCCATATAAAGATTAGTTTTTTTCATTTTGTTAAAGAATGCTTTTGAGATTTGGATCAAGACTGCCTTATCTATATAGATTACTCTGGATATGATTGACATTTTCATGATGTTGAGTCTTCCAATCCATAAGTATGGTATGCATTTCCTTTTCTGTGGCCTCTTCTGGCCTTCTTGCAGTTATGTTTTCTTATTACCTTGTATAGTTCTTTTACATCCTTGGGTCATTTTATTCTTAGATATTTTATCCTTTTGAGGAGTGTTGTGAAAGTTATTGTTTTCTTGGTTTCCTTTCTGGAGTTCTCCTTGCTGTTGTAGAGGAATCCAACTAATTTTCTACCCCCCCTCCCCCACCGCCCTTAATTCTAAAATGTCATGATCCTCTCGCTTGTGTTCAAATGCTCGAGTCACCTCCTCCCCCTCCCTTCCCCTGACCCCCTTCTGCCTCCTCCCCCCAACTAATTTTCACATATTGATCAAGTGTATCCTACTTTGCTAAATCCCTCTACTCATTCCAGTAACTTTCTCCTCTTTATGCCATCTGTGAATAGAAATGGTTTTACTTCTTCCTAACAATTTGGGTTTGGTGGTTTTCGTGTGCAATAGAACCATTTATATTTAGAATTAGCCATCTGGACTCAGATGATCCCAATTTTATTGACAACCTCTGAGGCATCATAGTCTGGAGCTAGTAGAGCCCTCTACTGGCCTTTAGGCCTGATGAAGGCGTTGACTCTGGCCACATCAGTGTCACAGAGCTGCCTCTTGGCTTGTTTGATCTGGTGTTTGCTGGTCTTGATACCCACAATAAACACAAGTGAGTTGTTACCTTCTTTCTTGCCTTTTTGCTCTAGCAAGACTTCCAGTACAATATTGAATAAAAGTGATAATAGGGTAATGGGGATCCTTTTCTCATTCCTATTTTCAAGGGAGATGCTTTCAATCTCTCTCCATTGAAAAGAATGTTGGCTTTTGGAAGAATTTCCCTACTATTTGTATTTAGCTAAAAGGATGTTAGATTTTCAGCAAATGCCTTTTCTGCATCTATTGAGATGATCATGCAATTATTTTCCTTTTATTTATGTAGTAAATTACATGGATAACTTCTTTAACACTGAATTGCCACACTAATTTTCTGGTGCTACACTGTGCTATGAATACCAACTCATTGTGAAGTATTATTATTTTTTTATATTCTATTGAATTCTATTAATTAGAATTTTGTTGAGAATTTGTGTGGGATATTTATCTATAATTTATATTCATGAAGGATACTTTTCTATAATTTTCTTTTTTTGTGGTATGTTTTTTCTGGCTTTGGTATCAGGGCTGTGCTGACTTTATAAAATGAATTAGAGACCTTCCCTTTCTATGTTCTGGAACAGTTTCAGTAGATAGAATTGGTGTCAGCTGTTCTCTGAATGTTTGGTAGAACTCTCTGGTGCCACCTGAGCCAGGGATTTTATTTTCTTCTTCATGACATTTTCAATTTTGTGTTATTATGAATTAAATGATATTATTAATTTTCAACTCTCTGAAAAGCAGAAGTGATCAATAAATGCTCTATTGTCAAACCTTCCTATCTGAGTGTTCCACATTCATGGATTCAACCAACCATGGATTGAAAATATTCATGGAGAAAAAGGCAAAGTGGTTGAAGCAATTCCTCAAAGGCTAAGTTTTTGTTAGGTGCCGTCAAGTTGCCTATGACTTGTAGTGACCCTGTGCACAATAGCTCTGAATCCTGCCCTATCCTGAACCAATCTTACTATCTCTGATGCACCTACTCTTATTACCCCAGCTACTGTGCCAATCCATCTCATCCAGTGTCTTCCTCTCCTGCACTGTTCCTCCACTCATCCAAACATGATGTCCTTCTCCAAGGACTGGTACCTCTGGCAATATGCTCAAAGTATGTGAGATGGAGCCTCAAAATCCTTGCCTCCAAGGAACAACTTGGTTTCTCCTTCTCCAGGGCAAACCTGTTTGTCCTCCTAGCAGTTCAGTTCACTTCTCCAGGACCCCAACTCAAAGACTTTGATTTTTCTTCTGTCATCTTTAGTCATTGCTCATCTGAGGGTGCATAAAGTATGATTTACCCAACATTTACATTTTAGGGGGCATTATGAGGTCAGAAACTGTGCTGCAATCCTGAAAGGATGTTGGTTGAAATCCAATAGTTTCTCCTTGGGAGAAGGATAGTCAGTCTTCTCCCCTGCAATTAACTGCCTCTGAAACCCTGCTGGAGGGTCAGCTATGAGTAAGTTCTGACTTGACAGCACACAACAACAGGCATTATAAGTAATCTATGAGAAAGTTGAGCATCTCTCAGATGGTGGCATCATCCATGGTACCCTGGAATCAACTCCTTATAGATATTGACATATCTCAATTTAGAAACAGTATTGGTTCAACTCTTGATATCCGTTTTGTTCTTCTCTTCAAGACTCTTTCTCGAACACTAGGGTCTCATGTAACCAAAACAAACCACAACTTATATTAATTATGATCTTAAATGAGGATGATTCTGGCCCATAGCAACCCTAAGCAGGACAGAAAAAAACTGAGTCCCAGAGAATTTTTTTGGCTGTAATCTTTATAAGTCATAGATCATCAGCTCTTTCTTCTTCAGCCCCACTGGGTGTGTTCACACTATCAAACTTTTCAACTCATAATTGAACTCAAACCACTTATTATATCAAGGGCCCTTATTATGCTGTTGTTGTTCTTATTGATGTTGTTATGTGCCTTCAAGTCAGAAGTGACTCATCACTGACCCTCTAGCAGGTTTTCAGAGGTCGTAAATCACACAAGAGGAGAATATTCATCCCTTTCCCACAGAGTATGTTTGTACCAGCAGCTAGGAAATGAAAAGACAAATTGCACTGGGAAAATCTGCTGTCAGAGACTTCCCCAAAGTACTGAAGAGCAATGATGTCATTCTGGAGATTAAGGTGTTCCTGATCCAAGTCAGTCTTTGCAGGTACTTGTTGTACATCAGAAAGTTGGACAATGACAAGGGATGATAGGAGAATTGATGCCTTTGAACTATGGTGCTGGAGAAGAGTATTGAATATACCATGGACTGCTAGGAGAATAAACAGGTTCATCCTAGAGAGAGTGAGACCAGGCCTGCTGTTTGGAGGCAAGGATTCTGAAGCTTCAACTGACATACTTCGGACATGTTGCAAGAAGGGACTAGACCTTGGAGACGGATGTCATGCTTGGGAGGGTGGAGGAACAGCACAGGAGGGGAAGACCCTCAATGAGATGGATTGACTCAGTGACTGGGGTAATGGGGGTAGGTGTGTCAGAGACAGTAAGTTTGGCACAGGATAGAGCATGGTTTAGGGCTGTTGTATGTAGGGTTGCTATGAGTCACAGGTGACTTGATGGCACATAACAACCACCACCACAACCTTTGGAATGGCAATACAGCTCCTTGTCATTAGGTCATCAGAGCTCCTTTATTATGCTATAAGCTGATGTCTAATATAGATCTGAAAGCCTAACTATTTCCTCCTAATTCTGGAGATACAATCCCTTCTAGAGTCCAAACATAACCCTTGGAGAAGACAGACCCCATCTAATCGAATTAAATTATAACAGTTGCACAAACCCTCCCATTTAATCAAGACTAGGAGAACAAATCCACATTTTAATTGTAGTGCCTTATCAGTGCTATCATCTGATTGACTAAATGTAGGTTATTCTGAAAGTAATTCTTTTAATGGACCCAGCACATCAGACTATCAGGTAGCTCTATGTAGGTGGAACGTGAGGTTTCTGACAGCAAAATGCTTCCTTATGCCTCTTACACACACCACTGCTGCTTCTGGATCTTCACATTTTGACTCTCCTTTATCAGGCAGCTCAAGACTCAGATGCCACCTCCAAAGAACCCTTTCTGAAACACCAAATCTCAAGTCTTATCTCTTTGCCCTGTTGTCCTGCCTACTGACCACTTGTCACCATCTGAATTACTCATGTTTTTGATGGTATTATTTTTTTCTTTTCTTTGTTTGTTTCCCCAATTAGAAGGTTTCTTTCCCTGTAGTTGAACAGGGTTACCATTGAATATATATTTGCTAAATGGACACATGACTGGAGGACTCCGAGACACTCACCCCACCTGTCTTAATCTGGCAGGTGAAGTCTGAGCTGAGGAAGCACTGGGCCCGCTTCCTGCTTGCCCACCTGTCAGGCTGCAGAGCCTGGTTCCTGGGGAAGAACTTCAGGTTCCTGGGGAAATGTCCCAAGAATTTCCCAGAGGACAACAGCACCAGGATGATGCAGAAGCTGCAGCTCTCACCTGGCAGCGGAGGAAAGCTCCTGCACCTGGCTGCATGGGGCCTGGGCAAGGTGGGCACTCGGCCCCATGGAAACCGTGCTCCCTGGCCCCGGGGCAGCAACCTTTCTGAGAGCAGTGATGGAGACTTCACCCCTGCCAACACTGTGGAGGAGATTCTGGAGGAGAGTGAAATCTAGGGCAGGAGATTATTCTTGGCTCTGCTCCTGGGACATTTAGCAGGCTGAGGAGGGAGGAGACAGCTAAGTAGACATTGTTGAGATTTCAAAATCTCCCTGGTCCCCCCAGGAACACAATGTCTGTCTTGAGTTTTTCATACTTTTGTTTGGAAAAGACTGTGCTACATTCCTGTGTTCACCAAAACACTATTTATAATGACAAGGAGGTGGATACAGCCTCATGCCACCAATAGATGAATGGATAAACCAGCTATGACACATACACAACAGAATATTATACAACACTGAAGAATAATGATGAATCTGCATAACATGTACCAACAGGGAGGATGTTGTATTGAGCGAAATTAACCAATAAGGACAGGTATTGTGTGAGAGCACTATTGTCAAAGATCAAGAAAATATTTTTCCATACCTAAAGAAAAATATTCTTTAATGGTTACCAGGGTTGGAAGGAAAAGAAGGGTAAGTAATTAACTAGAGAGTAGACATGTACTGTGTGGAGAGGAAAGCAATCCAGAATAAAGGGAAGGTCAATGGAAAAACAAGTGAACAAGTGGAGGAAGTGCTCAGGGGGGAGGAGTCCACAGCTAAATACAGTAGAAGTGAATAGAATTACAAGTACGCAAGAACAGTGATAACAGTCTATGAGTGAGTATATAGATAGACACGTATACTGGACAGGGATGGGAAGGGTAGAGTGACTTGTGGGAAAATGGCTGTGCCAGACCTCCTGACTTCCTGCTGCCCCATGCATCCTCCTAACTGCAGTGGGCATGTTGTCCAGGATGGGTCATCCCCTGGGAGGTGATTGTAAATCCAATGAATGGAGCCTATAGGAAGAGAGAGCCCCATGTACAGAGAACAGCTTCCTGTCTATCTCTCTCTCTCAGAGACCAATCAGAATCTCTCTCTTTACCCTGCCCCAAAACTCTGTCTTCATCTGAGGTTGGTTATAGTGTGGTTGAAAGCCACCTAGGAGATATTTAAAATGCAGAATCCTAGATTACCACCAGAAATTCTGAACTAGTGAGTCTGGGATGGTGGCCAGGACTTGGAATTGCAAAAGCATATCAGGTCATTCTGACACATGTCTACATTTTTAAATCCCTGGGCAGGCCATGAGGGAGCTTAGGGATCCTCTGCACCTTGAAATGGTCTTTTCCTCACCTCATGGCTACCTGTCTTTCTGAGTTGGCTTCTCCACACTTTTCATTCTCTAAGCAGGAATTGCTTCCTGGTCATTTTTGGTTTACTGTTGGCACATTTACAGATATGTCTTGCTCTGGAATATTTGCCCTGCACGATCTGATAAGAGTCCTCTGCAGAACAGGGAGATAAGACTGCTATTGCAGCTGGCTGTGCTGAGGGAAGCACGGAAAACCAGGAATCACAAGTGTTAGATTGTGAGATTTACTTGCCCATGAAGAACAATGGCTGGGCTCCTAACCTTTACAAGAGGGAAAGTACTACAGATGAAGAGCACCCTGGTAGTTAGGACTACACTCAGTTCCTGAAATGGCAAGAAGTGAAGAGAAGGTCAAGGGAGGAACATCCTGGGAAAACTTTTGATACCCAGCTGTGTTGTCTTTTATCGAGTGAACATGCATGTGTACGTGGATGGAGTATGTTGTTTTCATATGACTGAAGACTGCCTTATGTTAGAGACAATAGAATATACATAGTGTTTTCACAATTAAAATGAATTTAAGTTTAATACCCCATTAGTTTTAATTTCAGATAATCAATGAAGATTTATTTGTGGGTATAAATTTTAAAACTCTAGAGAAGTTCTGATGGCATAATCTGTAGGGATTTGTGCTGTTAATCCACAGATAGCATCTCTATGGTGGTTTGAGTTCCCTAGCTTATCTGCAAGAGAAAGATAGATAACCTCCTCCCATGTAATTTACAGTCTCTCGAATATTCACAAGAGGTTCAGCTCTGAGTCAATTCCAATAGAAATACATCCCATGAAATTGAAATTTCACTGGGTATCATGTGTTTCATCTGGCAACTAGTGTGAAGGCTATGTTGCAGCAGAGCAAAGGCCACAGTGAGGTGAGTGAGGCTTGCTGTTTGAGCCAAATTTAGAGACATACCAAAAATGCCTAGTCATCATGTATTTTAATACAATACAGGATGGGGAGGGGGAGGGGAACCAAACTGATAAAGTTCTGCCTCCAGGGCTGTCATTTGTTTTGGGGAGTAAAACCAGGGCTGGAATTAACACAGAAAGAGTGAACAACGGTTATCTAATGGTTGAATCCTGACACTATTTAAAGTTTTGATATTTGGCTATAATGAAGGAGCTTTGGTGATATAGTCTATAGGGAGTTATGCTGTTAACCCAAAGGCTGAGCCTCTCTGGTGATTTGAATTTATCAGTGTCTCCAGGGAGACAAAAGACTGTCTTTTCTTGTACAATTTATAGCCTCAAAAACCAGCTGGAGGGTCAGCTATGAGTTGGTTCCAACTCAACACCAATGGGTTTTAAATGTTTGTTTTGTTTTTAGTTCTTGTTTATCATGATGTTTTGCATGGATTTTAAAAAATGTACTTTTAAAATATAGCATTAGAAATGTGATTTGTTGAGACTTTTGGCGCTCCCTTGAGTTCTAAGTCCATGGTGAGGGGTTTACCAGCTTTGCCCTAATTGTAACCCTGCTTTGCAAGAGGAGGAATGGAAGGAAAAACTTTAGTCAGGTAAATGTACAATGAAGCAAATGTATATTTTTTCTTGTCAGATTTACCTGTAGTTCAAGCTTTAAGATCAAGTTCCAATGTTTCCCTTTACTGCAAATGTCTCTGCTTTTCCTTACCAGCCTCTCAGTTCCCTGCACTTGTACAACTTCCACACAGAGTAGATGTTTCACACGCTTGGTCAAATGTGACACAACAGACTTTTTCCCTTAGGAGCATCCAATCCTATTGGGATTCAGTTACCCAGGAACATCATTTCTCAGAGCATATATAAATAGATTCTGTGCCCCACGCTCACACACGGAGTGGCATACTTAACTCTGCTCATCCCTGCCCTGCTGATTATTAAAATCATACTTACTCCATTTTTGGTGTGTTTTGTCACTTCTTTCACACGTGTTCCTCACTGCAGCTGAAGGTCTTTCATGCGCTGGGAGAGTCTGGCACATGTTCCAGGCCAGTGGCGGGAGGAAGGTTTGGTGTGTATCCTGGGAACTGGGGAGTCCATTGTCTCAGGAACCAGAAGATGGGCAGAAGGGGAGGGACCAGAGGCAGAGGCCAGAAACCAAAGAGGAGGAAGGTAAGTGTATACCTTGGCCTTTACTAGACTGTCCTTGGATCAGTCCATGTACTATGTCCTTGAAGGCTCAGGTATTCTCAACTCCAACTACCCATTAGAGTCATTGGGAGAAGCTCTGTAGAGACCTTGATGGCTGGGCTTTACCCCCGAGGTCCTGACTGAAATGGTATGGGTAGTTTGAGGTGCTGTCATTTTTGTTAGTCCCTGAGGGATTTAATAATAGGATTAACATTGAAAACTCCAAGTTCAGCAGAGGGGACACAATTGAAGACTTCAATTGCCAATTGCAACTTGTAGTACCTCTCTGAATTCCAGACACCCAAACCCTCACCTGCAGCACTTTGTAGCTCACTGCTGTAGAGTTGCCCTCCAGTTCATGGGAATGCCATGTACAAGTGAACAAACACTGCCTGGCCCTGCACTATCCTCTGTCATGGTTGTGATCCACAGGATGGGCCCTGGCTGGTTCTCAGAAGCACTCACAGACTTTTTCTTCCTCGCTTGTCTCAGTCAGGAAGCTCCACTAAAACTTGTCAAACCTGAGTTTCAAGGAAGATGAGAACTCTACCCCAGAACCCGCAGCAAATGCCCCAAGATCTGTTTAAAACAACAAACACACAAAAAGTCAAACTTGTTATCTATCACACCAGTTGTCCCAGGGCGATCCCTGAGAGTAGAGCTGTGCTTTGTGGGGGTTAGGAACTTTCAGGCCTTTCCTCCAGAATGCCTCCTGGGTGGGTCTGAATGCCCAGCCTTTCAATCAGAACTTAAATACTCTGGTGGGTATCTATTTCTACAACCCATCCTTCTGACACTAATTTACTGTTGGTAGGTGTTGAATCAGCTCTGACTCATAGCAACGCTCATTTCAACAGAACTACTCTCTGATCCTGTACCATCCATACAATCTCTGCTGTACTTAAGCCTATTGTTCAGTCACTGTGTCAATCCAACTCCTTGAGGCTCTTTCTCTCTTTCACAGCCCCTCTACTTTTCCAAACATAATGTCCTTCTTCAGAGCCTGGTCCCTCTTGATAACATACCCATGGTGTAAGGGACAAAGTATCACTGTCCTTCCTTCTAAGGAACATTCTGGTTGAATTTCTAAGACAGATCTGCTATTGCACTAACGTTGTTGTTATGTACCATCAAGTTGGAACTGACCTATAGCTGACCTTCCAGCAAGTTTTCAAAGGCAATAAATTGCACAGGACGAGATTTTCCATTTTTCTACTGTGAAACAGCTGGTGGATTTGAACTGTGTGCCTTTAGGGGTTGTCAGCACAACTCCTTACCTTTGAGAAACAACACATCTCTCACTTTTAGTCAATAAAGATTGTGTTGTCCTGACTCTATTCACAGTTCCAGAAGCAAGCAGGAAAGCTTGGCTCACAACATCTTCTCAGATAAATGGTTCAGGGATGGGCAGATGGGCAATCAGAGCCAAGGAGAAGTAATCCTCTCTGATTGGAAGTCTCATTAGAAATACATTTTCAAAAAAACAAAATCCATCAATATGTTGCCTACAAGAGACACATCTGAAAAATGTAGATAAAGAAAGACTAAAAATTAAAGGATGGGACAAAATATACCAAGCAAATGGCAACCAAAAAAAAA